GCATATCACTACAGCAGAAAAATAAAATTTTATCGAATATATTTTCTTTTAATCCATATCTGTGTTATGTTATTGTTTTTTGTTTTATACCTGGTCGAAATAACGCAAAATATTCACCTCCCGTTCATAATTATCAGTTCAGTTACCTCAATTGACATCATTTAACCTAAAAAAATTAACGTTGTTCAAATATTCCCGCCTAAAAGTTCCAGGAACACATGCTTGTGCGTCGAGACAGGGAACTTCGATTAGTGCAACAAACTCGTAACAGTTGCGCCAACTTCCCTCAACAGTTGCGCCGTGGAGACAAGGCCTAACAACATTTGCAGAAGAGACGAGAATCACCCTGTCACCTGCAACCCATAAGTACGACCGGCCGGCCCACTCCTTTTATTTCCTTCAATTTTTTTTTCAAATTTATGACGATTATTTGTGTTTTGTATCTTTAAAGAGAAAAAACCATTACAGTTTTCAAAGGGACATCTTTGATTTTTAAAGGAAAAGATAAACTAAAACTCAAGTCTAACCCTAAGACCCTAAGATGGTGTCTCTTAAGTGATGAGTTGGAAAGTTTCGAATAATTTTGCCCCGAGGTGGGCAAATTTAAGGGAAGTTGGGCCGTTTTGATATCACTCCTTTTAAACAATGAATCAAAACGTGTTCCAGACCATTATACCTTTAAAGTATTTGATTTTTTTTTTAGGAAAAAACTTTGCGATGTATATTGCATAGGTATTAAGGGGGAAATTGGGCCGTTTTGATATCACCTACTTTTAAATGATGAATTCAAACGGCAGAGCTATCGTATGTTTTTGGTATAATTTGTTCTTAAAAAAATAATCAGAGAGTTTTTTGGGATTGGGCCGAAATTTTGTACAAAAATCTATTTTTATTTTTTTGGAAGGATCTAAAGTAGGATTGATGTTAACGGAGACAAGAGATACCACAAAATTTTACATTCCGTAACAATAAAGTAACTGGAGCCGGACAGTGTTTAATAGCTTGCTACAACAGTTCTACAGTATCTGAAGTAGGATTGATGTTAACGGAGAGAAGAGATACGATACAATTTTAGATCAGAAATGTGTAGACTCACGACTAGAAGCGTTTGATCAGACGACAAGACTAGACAAGACAAGATCAGAGACGTTTAGCTGGACACACAGGACAGTTTTGACCTGGACTGGACGTATTTGACGAAAGACAAAATTGGTGAGGGCCATTTCGGACGCTATGCTTTCCGTGACCCGTGGACTTGACTAAAAAATTTGACGGATTGACGATTTCAACTTCTTAGCACGAGGGACGACTTGATCAGCTTGACATCGGCCTGACAGTTCGCGGAAGTTTGAGGTTAGAAAGTTCGGGACGAAAACGGACGGTAAATTGTACATTTGCATACACACAATCACTTAGCACGGGTAGTGTTAGCGACTAATATTGACGGAGAGAAAAGAAACTTGACCCTACACCTGATACCATGTTAGGGTCATCCCCTGAGGGGATGAGAGGATTGGACGCGAGATACTCAACGGATGCAGGTGTGATGACAAACTGACAAACTGTATTGCGAGATGCCAAGTCCGACATCCCCGGACAGCTAGGCTACAGTGCTGCCTGAGGTGGCAATGTATAGAAGTACTTAACATGACAGTTTTTAGCTTTCTTTTCAATCTCATTGAGTAACTTTCTGTATTTCCGGGATAATTCTTCATTAAAGGGTTTATGATTAGACTTTAAATTGAGCTTGTGTCTGTGCTTGATGGAAACTAGAATGGCTGCAGTAATCCAAAGTTTAATTGGAATTTTTCTTTTATTAACTTTGATTTGGATAAAGGGTCCTTCCTCTTATTGGAAAATAATTATTTCTATTGAGGTTTTTGAGGAAATTTGACATTAAAGAGAGAAATTTTTACGAGAACTAGGCAGACAGGATCTCACTATATTTCAAAAGAAATTTATAGGTTGCCGGCCAGGTTGGCCTAGTGGTTAGCGCGTCTGACTCTAGGTCAATAGGTCCCGGGTCCGAATCCCGGTGGTGGCGACAAATTTTCATGGAACTGACGGGTGGATCTGTAAGCAGAATTCGCTCGGCCTTAATCCGTGAAAATTTGTAAGCCCGAGCATGGATGTCTACCAAACTCCCTGATGTCTTCGGACAATAAATAGTGCCTATAGATGGCTGTAGATTCCTAAAGGAATAGAAGCCACTAAACTCTCAATAAAAAAAAAAAAAAAAAAAAAAAAAAAAAAAAAAAAAATTATAGGTTACGTACATATATTATTGTTGATGAATAGCTCTCGGTCGTCTTTTTCCGCTCTTGCGTGGTGGGTCCCCTATCTTTCGCGGAAGTTGTGCTGATGTGTTCCTCGTTGCATTCGAGGGGGCTGTGCTTCCTGTTTTTCCACCAGTCCACTCATCGCCACAGTTTCAAGTTGATTGACAAGTCAAATTGACCGATATAGTAGCTTAGCAATTCAAATATCAAAATGTGTTTTTTTTTGTTTTTTTTTCTTTTTTTTCATAAACTCACCTTATAATTTTTCAGTATCAAAACATTCTTATAGAAAAGTCTATTGGTACACGTACGTGTACGAGTATACTTACTTGCATACTCTGAAGTCAATAGCAATAAAGCAGTGGCCAGAAATTTTTGCAGGATTACAGTAGGTACACGTTTCCCTACATTAAATTTGGTGAGTAAACCAACAAGTCCATTGAAAGCTCAAACATTATTTCGAAGGGAATGATGAGAAGCTTATCAAAATCCGGCCAATCAAAAGCCAACAATCGAGTTGACGTAGCCAAGTCTGTCAATGCCTGAAGTTAAGTTCCAGTCAATCAGCAAACGCCGTTTCCTAGATATGCCTTGCTACACCATCGGAGCTCGCCATTTATCTTTTCAAATGGGTCCCAGTTTTGGCATTTTCAAAATGAAATTTCTTTGTCATTTAGGATTAAAAAAGTCTGAGCAAATTCCGAGAAGCTTAGTTTACTTCATTGGTACCTTTAGCAGAGGGAATTAACAAAGGTAGATGTCACTGATCCATCGAAGTTTCCATGATGGAGATTTTCCTGCCCCTTCATTACCTCATGACACTGAAAAGACTAGTTTAAATTTGAGGTAATTTTAACGCACGTGACAAAATCAACAAGATTAACCATGAAGATAGAATAATCATATTCGTTTTTTCCTCCTTTTCCCTGTTTATAATGAAAGAACATTATAATTAAAATTCAAAAAGGGAAAACGAGAAGGAGAACTGTTTTCATGGCACTAAACCTCCTAATGGGAATCCTTCTCTGTCGTAGACAAATGAAAGAGGCGGCTGATCTGAACAACATGAGCTGGAGGGTGAGGCCTGAGGAGGTTCTTTTAGAGGTCAGTAGACAATTTTCCTCGAGGCTGGCTCTTCAAAAAACCACAGAGGTAATATTCTCTTTTATTTTTTGACAAAGTGACACATCACATTGAGCGCTGTTGGTATTTCAGTCAATCAAATCAATTATAAACTCTATTGCCGAACACAGATTAGTCCAGATCGCTAACATCGGCGGAAGAGCGTGAGTAGTTTTGTGAGCGCCATTGGCGGGAAAATCCATGGGCATTTAAAACTAGGAACCAAAACTGAAATTTTGACTATTTTCAGCAGATTTTCGGCGGGAGAGTACTTTTTTCAGATTTTTGTGGGATGAAACGTTCCGAAGAATTCAAGAATTAGTTTCTCAGTAGAATTTATGTGGTTCCATATTTCCAGATTATAAGATGCAGCACTTTCCCCCTTAATTTGGAATGTCTATCTCTCATCTATTCTGGATGAATCGATCTTCACCGCCAGATTATAATATATCATATTTTTGAAGTTTAAAGCCTTAGAAACCGAAAATTAAAGCAAAATCCTAGCAAAATGAGACTTTTGGTTCCTAGTTTTGAATTCCCGCCAGAGGCCGCATGAGAGCAGTTAATCGCTACCAACTGTTGTAAGAATATGGAAACAGAATACTTCGCATAACAGTACTTGATAAAATCTTATTTTATCAAAAACCATTATTACTTATTACTATTTATACTTTATTAAAGCTTTATAATCAGATTAAAGAGGACATTTCTCTCGATCCGGTCAAGTTCTTTCACTGCTGGTAGTGCCATCAATTATCTAAAGTTGCCTAACCGGTTGCAAAATTACTCACGCTTTCTAAACATTGGCTGGATTGGATGTTAGCGATCTGGACTAATCTGTGTTGCCAAATGATCATTCCTTCTTCCAAACAAGGGCTGTTGGTTTTCCGATAACACCTCTTCCTCCATCCCATCGATTATATGTATCTAGATCATAACCTCCTAGGGATTGGACCCAGTTAGCATTTTATCTTCGCGGAGAATATCCCTGAAAAATTCCGCGCCTTCGCATCATTTAAAAATATTTTGACAAGATTCTCACAAAAACCAAACTGAATACATTTTGCGAGGATATTTTGAAAATATTATGAAAACATGGAAGTTTATAATTTTCGCAGAACATGCTCAGAATATACCGTCTGCCGTTGCACGGGTAACATAATCGCCTATTTGAAGGCGGCTACAAAAACTGCCCGCTCTCCAGTGGCTCTCGTCAACACGCCAACTCACAACAAATCAATCATGTCATGGCATTTTGGCCACTTGAAATCTTGTTGTATCCTCGTTACTGTGATTTTATATTCCATCACGGTGCGCTTGAACTCACTTTAAATGCGACTTGAATGTACATCAAAAATTCAAGTTGGAGGTTGTAGTGGGGTACTCCCTGATGGGTTTTTGGGCAATTTCGAAATAGGTTGTCGGAGCTCCTCGAAAAATAATCGCATTTTTGTGGTTTTTTAGGGGTGAAATAGCAAAATTGACCTTGCGGCGACATATTAAACCCCCTCTCCCTCATCCATGCCCTGACCGATCTTAATTTTTAGTATGTTTTCACCTGGTATAAGATGTGACTTTTCTGAAATTTTCATGCCCATACACAATTTTTTGCCTCCGCGGCAGCGTTGCCAAGTTGCGGACTCCAAAATGTCGAATTTGATGATAAAATGAAGGTTTCGAAGTGAGATTTCCATTCAATTTCAAAAATTCAAATCGCAGGTTTGTAGTAGGGTACTGCCTGATGGGTTTTTGGCCAATTTCGAAATGAGTGTTGGAGATTTTTGAAAAATAATCGCATTTTTGTGGTTTTTTAAGGGTAAAATAGCAAACTGGGCACGGGGCGGCAAATTAAACCTCTTCTCTCTCATCCTTGCCGTGACCGATCTGCACTTTTAGTATGTATTAACCTGGTATAAGATGTGACTTTTCTGAAATTTTCATGCCCATACAAAATTTTTTGCCCCCGCGGCAGCGTTGCCAAGTTGTGGACTCAAAAAGATCGAATTTGATGATAAAATGAAGGTTTCGAGGTGTGATTTCCACCAAAATTTCACGAAAAATGTGCAATCTGAGAGTTTTCGATAAGGAAAAGTATATTTGAACAATTTAGAGTTGCAGCGTTGCCAGCTTCACGATTTAAAATTCGTCAAAATGATCCGAATCGCGTTGCAACCTCAAGGTCTGGATTTTTATTTCGTTCAGAATTGGTCATTACGGTTCTTCTGTACTCTATGCATTTAGGTACCATGAAAATTATGCCATTACTCACTTGATGGGTGCAGCTAACTCAACAAGAGATGCCGGATAAAGCGAAGATTCGGGGCCTGTCTTGTTGAGTTAGCTGCACCCATCAAGTGAGTAATGGCATAATTTTCATGGTACCTAAATGCATAGAGTACAGAAGAACCGTAATGACCAATTCTGAACGAAATAAAAATCCAGACCTTGAGGTTGCAACGCGATTCGGATCATTTTGACGAATTTTAAATCGTGAAGCTGGCAACGCTGCAACTCTAAATTGTTCAAATATACTTTTCCTTATCGAAAACTCTCAGATTGCACATTTTTCGTGAAATTTTGGTGGAAATCACACCTCGAAACCTTCATTTTATCATCAAATTCGATCTTTTTGAGTCCACAACTTGGCAACGCTGCCGCGGGGGCAAAAAATTTTGTATGGGCATGAAAATTTCAGAAAAGTCACATCTTATACCAGGTTAATACATACTAAAAGTGCAGATCGGTCACGGCAAGGATGAGAGAGAAGAGGTTTAATTTGCCGCCCCGTGCCCAGTTTGCTATTTTACCCTTAAAAAACCACAAAAATGCGATTATTTTTCAAAAATCTCCAACACTCATTTCGAAATTGGCCAAAAACCCATCAGGCAGTACCCTACTACAAACCTGCGATTTGAATTTTTGAAATTGAATGGAAATCTCACTTCGAAACCTTCATTTTATCATCAAATTCGACATTTTGGAGTCCGCAACTTGGCAACGCTGCCGCGGAGGCAAAAAATTGTGTATGGGCATGAAAATTTCAGAAAAGTCACATCTTATACCAGGTGAAAACATACTAAAAATTAAGATCGGTCAGGGCATGGATGAGGGAGAGGGGGTTTAATATGTCGCCGCAAGGTCAATTTTGCTATTTCACCCCTAAAAAACCACAAAAATGCGATTATTTTTCGAGGAGCTCCGACAACCTATTTCGAAATTGCCCAAAAACCCATCAGGGAGTACCCCACTACAACCTCCAACTTGAATTTTTGATGTACATTCAAGTCGCATTTAAAGTGAGTTCAAGCGCACCGTGATGGAATATAAAATCACAGTAACGAGGATATAAAATTTGAGGTTAGGCCTAGTTTAAATCTATAAGGGCGGGCGTTCCGCAAGGTTCAGTCTTGTCTCCTCTACTCTACAGTCTTTTTACGGCTGATATTCCCAAGCCTAAGAAGGGTAAACTCGGGGTATTTGCAGATGATACTGCCGTCGCATCTGCTGCCCCCACATATGAAGAATCGGTCAACAATCTTCAGGAGAGCCTGGGTGATATTCAGGAATGGACTGAAGACGACCGTACTGCGCTTAATGCGACCAAATCGGTGAACGTGGTCTTTACCCTACGGCCTTACGTTTATGCACCCTTGGTTTTAAATGGCACTACTATCCCGCACGCCTATAAGGCTCCATACCTTGGCCTTATCATGGATAGTAAACTTAATTGGAGGGAACATATCCTCACTAAACAGAAACAGATTAATATCAAGTATCGTAAAATGTTTTGGCTTCTTGGAGGCCGTTCAAAATTATCTCTTGAAAACAAAATTCTTCTTTATAAATCTATGATAAGGCCAATCTGGAGTTACGGCAGTCAGATGTGGGCCTGTGCTTCCAATTCAAATTTATTGATCATAGAACGAACACAAAATAAGATTTTAAGAACAATGGCGGGGGCCAGATGGTACGAGAGAAACGCTGATATTAGGAGCGAGCTCGGTATAGAGGAGATAGACGTTTACATCTCGAAATGGTACAACAACTACGAAGAGCGACTGGGCCGACACCCCAACTCAGAGGCGATGTCGCTTCTGGATTGGGCGTCGGACCCTAGATGCCTTACACGCAGGAAAACCCATGAGCTGGCAACGGCTCACTTTCGACAGTGCTAACTGGCTTTTGTACCTCTGGCCCCCGACATGGTCTAAGTCGACCGACCGGGTGATGTACAGTTACATCATAGAATAAATAGACTACGTCAACAGAAGCGAAAGCTCCGTAAGAACCAATGTTAACATTTTTCTGCGCAGATTGAAACCAATTTCGAGGTTACCTACAAATATAAAAGTGGAAAAAAACATTAAATTTTAAGCGAATATACAGTACTTCTTCGGTTTAACGATAAATAAGTTAAAAGAAAACTCTTACAATTCCTTAAAACGTATGTATCCGTTATTATTCGACCTCTCCAAAACCGCAAACGTAAACAGTACTTATTGAAACAGCCTCCTTTCGGTATGCTTCGTTGACATGAAAATGGCGGGGGCTTTCGCTTCTGTTGACGTTAGTCTCTTTATTCTATGGTTACATTCAAGATCTCTCATTCGTTTGGGAGGTTTTTATAGTTATTTTATCCGTTAATTTTTCCCACTTTTTACCCATTCTCGTCTCCTTTATTTCTCTTTGTTGTAAATTCTGTTGCCCATCTGGCCTGTTTTCCACAAATGTCTTCTGCTATTTGCTCATTTCTCTTTTATCTTGTCATGTAATTCTGGTCAGGCTGCTTCACATGGTAGCTTTTAGTTCATAATAGGCTCTAAAAGTGATATATATATATATATATATATATATATATATAATACTTGGTGTCCCAAAAGTCCCTTCCACCCCCTCTAAAATGTTACCTAATTAATATTTTGAAACGAAACTTTGGGGATGTTCATCGATCAATGTTAGCTACTTTTGGGGCCTCCCAAAATTTTCGGGCCCCCCCCGTGGGGAGGGGCTGCGGACCCCAACTTTTTTTT